GCTTTACAGTTTTCCCTCCCTCAAATACTGTTGCCCTCCTTCACAACTAACATCTTCCCTTACTCAATCCTTTGCAGCCTCCAATACTGAAAAATAGATTTGAGTCTCTTTCTGTGGTAGTGGCCCTTCTTGTTCTACTGCCATTCCTTTTCTTTATAGTTTCTTGGGTGGACCCAATGGACTGACTGTGGCTCATCCCCTTGAATGACCTAATCAGACAGCCCCAGAGGAGAAGTGCCAGACTCCTGTCTGATGGCTGCACTTCTCCCTCACTGCATTAGCCTTACCCCACCAACAGTTATGGAACTATAGGCTGAACCATCACTTGTTCCCTGGCCTACAGGGGCACAAAAGCTCCCTGACTAAGATCGTTCCAATCAGATGTCTTACTGTGGCCATCTAGTACGGGAGTTTGCCCTTAACTTACGGTGCCAGGAACTCCTGACTGACAGATGACTTGTGGACTTCAGAGAGGTCTACTTCCCGAAAAGTTTGAGATATGGCTGTTGCTTGCTGCACATGGTATAAATATGAGATTTACAGAGCACTGTGTTCAACAGCAAGATGTACGCCCTTTTGACTGCAGATTTCTGACCTACAAGGAAAGCCGCTTGGTTATGTGACTGTGTGAACTGGCACAGCAATGCATGACAAGAAAAGGCAGAGATGCTGTAATTATACAGGTGGCTGAGTACTAAGAGAGTAAGCGAGAAGTTCTTAAATGTGGCCGGGTCTAATTTGTGAGCTGTATGCCAGTTCCTGCGCACAAAGTAAAATAATTACATGCTTTTTAAGCAGCCTTGCAAGTCGATTAGAAAGATGCCGTAATGTTCATGAGGGATTGGCAAATATCAGGGACTGTTAATGTCCATGGGCAAGGGGTGAATGCGGCCAGTGCCCATGGATCATGCCCTAAGATATATGTGATGGTGAGCAACGTGAAGGCTTTTTGCAGTCAGTGGAGAGCTGAAGGTGTTAGGTACCTGTTCTGACTTCCATGTCGAGAATTTGCGATGTCTAGCTTGGTTGGCACATTTAGTAAGATAGGAAGCCGAGTATTTGAGAGGTGAGTTGTGGCATCACTGCAGCATTTAACAAGCTATTATACTCCATAATTGGCAACTCACTGATACCTAGTGAAAAGTTCACACTTTGACAAATTTATAAAAGATGGAGTGAATTTTTCCCAACTTTGAGATAGGCCTTGTGGATTTCTCCTGTGATTCTGCTACAAATCTTGCTAAAGGCCACATCAATTTGAATCATAGAATCTCTACAGTGTGGAAATAGGCTGTTCGACCAATCAAGTCCACGCTGACTCTTCGAAGAGTACCCCAAGCAGACTCACCCCACTACACTGTCCATGTAACCCTTCATATCCCATGGCTAATCTACCTAACCTGCACATCCCTGGACATTATGGACAAGTTAGCATGTCCAATCCATGTAACCTGCACATCTTTGGACTGTGGGAGGAAAACAGAGCACCCAGAGGAAACCCCCACAGACATGAGGAAAATGTACAAACTCCACACAGACAGATGCCCGAGGCTGGAATTGAACCAGGATCCCTGGCGCTGAGGCAGCAGTGCTAGCATCTGGGCCACCACTGTCATCTCCCAACCCCGGACAGCCCACTTCTACCTCCTTCCCAAAATCTACAAACCAGACTGACCCAGCAGGCCTATTGTATTAGCATGTTCCTGCCCCGCCGAGCTCAATTCCTCCTCCCTGACTCATCCTCTCTCCACTTGTCCAGACCCTGCTCATCTACATCCACGATTCCTCTGACAATATTGATAATTTCCAGGTCCCTGGCCCCAACTGCCTCCTGTTCATCATGGATGTCCAATCCCTCTATACCTCTATCCCCCACCAGGACAGTCTGTGAACTCTCAGCTCCTTCCTCGACTAGAAGCCAGAGCAATCCCCATCTGCCACCCCTCTGCTCCGCCTGGCTGAACTTGTTCTCTCACCAAACAATTTCTTCTTTAATTCATCTCAGTTCTGCAAGTCAAAGGAATGGCTGTGGGCAACCATATGGGTCCAAGTTATGCCTGCCTCTTTATGGGGTGTGTGGAACAATCCTTGTTTCAGTCCTGTACTGGCTTCCTCCCTCCCCCAACTCTTTTTTTTTGGTACATGGATGATGACTGCTTCAGTGCTGCTTTATGTTCCCACCAGGACCTTGAAAAATTTGTTCATTTTACCTTCAATTTCCACCCCTCTATAACTTTCACATCACCCATTTCCTACACTTCTCTTTCGTTCCTTGACCTCTGTCTCAAATTCAGGGAATGAACTGTCCACTGCCATCCACTACAAAGCCACTGACTCCCATAGCTACCTTCACTACAGTTCTTCACATCCTGCACGCACTGCATCCCATTCTCCCAGTTCCTTTGTCTAAGTTGCATCTGTTCGGATGATGCCATCTTCCAAAACAGCGATGCTGACATGGCTTGCTTCTTCCATAACCGTGGTTTACCGCCCATTGTGATTTTCAGGGCCCTCAACCGCATCCGACCTATCACCTGTGCTTCCGCCCTTGCCCCCTCCCATTACTCACAACAACAGGATTGGATCCCCCTTGTCCTCACTTTTCATTCCACCAGCCTCCGCCTTCAAAGGATCATTCTCTGCCATTTCAGACAACTTCAGCAAAACAGAACCGCCAAACACAACTTCCCCTCACTCCTACTGTCTGCATTTCGCAGGGAACTTTCCCTGCGGAACACCCTAGTCCATTCCATGATTACAACACCACACCTCCTTCCCATGGTATTTTCCCATTTAACCACAGAATGTGCAACACCTGCCCATCACCTCCTCCCTGCTCACCACCTAAGGGCCGAAGCAGTCTTTCCAAGTGAAGCAGCATGTCACCTCTACCTCCTCCAATCTTGTGTACAGTATTCCCTGCACCCAGTGTGGCTGACTCCACATGGGAGAAACCAAACGCAGACTGGATGACTGCTTTGCAGAACAGTTCTTGTCTGTGTGCAAGCATGACGCCAATCTTTCCATAGCCGGTCATTTCAACACAGCGTCCTGCTTACGTGCCCACTTATCTGTTCTCGGCATGCTGCAGTGTCCCAGTGAATCACAGCGCAAACTGCAGGAACAGACTAAGCACTTTACAGCCTTTTGAACTCAATACTGAGTTCAACAGCTTCAAGTTACACTCTTTGTCAACATGCCCTTTCTTCCCTCACCCCACCCCATTGGGACTGTCTTCTCTTTCAAGTCTGGCAGTTAGACACACCATTGTTCTGCCACTCTCACATTCCGATTACTTAATCTGGACTATCAATATCTTTTCTCCACCACCCCTCTACACCCCAGCACAGCCACAACCTTCCTCCACACCCCACCTGGCCAACTATAGCATAAATGTGGCCTCCTCCACACTTCACTTCAGTTCTGTAGCGTCATCTAAACTTGAAATGTTGGTTTGCTCTCTCTCCATGAGTGCTATCTGACCCGCTATGATCTCCAGCATTTGTTGTTTTCGGTACAGATTCCACCATCTGCAGTAATTTGCTCCTACTAGGAAATGAGTTACTTTTTTCCCTTTCCTCTTAAGACACATTCAAATGCACAAAAGTTAATTTGAGCTTGTTGTATGATATTGTAAACACTGCGGGGCACATTAAATGATTATAAGCACTTGAGACACTTGTAGGGGCCCCAGACTATAGAGCACGGAGGCTTGACCCCTTCCTGAGAAATGAAGATTGGACACTAATCAATTGAATAGCAATTCACCACGACACAAAAATTTTCTGTTCTAATAATGAAAGTTTTTGCTTCTTCACTCTATTTTGGTTTTAACAATCTGGGATTATATTCAACTTCAATAAATGTAACATATTAGACAATAAATATGCATTTTACAAACAACAGATAATAGAATTTAAATATTTTCTGTAAATTAGAAGGGATGAGGAAATGCAAAAATAAGAATTCTATGATTTCTTGAAATACCTTCCCAAGATGCTTTAAATAAGACTTTTCAAACATACATATCAATGCAATTGCTAAAAACATTCAATGCATTGTCTGTTTATGCTGTATGCGCAGGCCTCAGGCTTCACTTCTTGGTAGGCTGAGCTGAATGATATTTGAAATTAATTCTTCAAGAAAATCTCTTTATTAGTGGGTGCACTGCTCCTCCAAAAGTATTATTTATACTGCAGAATTTACTGCAGCAGTTGCATAATGACTCATCAGTAAACTCCACCACAGTTCGCACCTCCCAACTACTTTCATTGGGACAGCTTCAAGACCAAACAAACAAACAAACAAACAAACAAACAAACAAACAGTCATTATGAACTGCCAGTGATAGTTCAACTACCTCCAGACCTGGGCGTATACCCAACATGCCAAGTGCTGGAAACGTCCTCAAGATATTTTAGCCATTTTGCCTTACTTGACAGGATGTGCAAGTCATAATAAGAATGATAAAATAATTGAATTAAAGGTCACTGATTGGCAACAGTAGCTTATGTACAACAAATTGCAGGGAGGAAAATAGTGTACATAGCACATATTTGTACACATTACATCTACAGCTAAAATACAAACTGAGCATTTTTGCTAGATATAGCATGGAGCTATGTTATAACTCCAGAGCTTGTTTGTGTTCTCTGATTTCTGATTTTGATACAGACACAACGGCTAACAGCGCTCAAATAAATAACAATTTAGTAGGACAAAAAATCCTTCAATTTTTACAGAGAAACATTTGTACTTCTTCATTCCATTTGCTTTTAACAATCAGGACTTCAGCAAATAATCAGTAGAAATCAAATACACATTTTACAAACAACAGGTATCAGTAGCACTAAATACATTGTACTTAATAGATTTTCAATTTTAGATTAATAAATAAATTCAAAATATTGATTTCATATTTCTTCTGGTATATTTCCACTGCAGTCCTACTGGGAATGATTGCTCATGGGATCATATTTTCCTCTAAACTATTCCCTTACCTTCTCATCTAAAGCCTTATGGTGCTCAAAAAGTGACTTTAATGCCTTCAAAACCTCAACTTCACTGGAAACCCCTGAAGGGGACTGAGCTTGCCGTTTCACCACTGTCATTCTCAGTGATCGTTCGTGTCTTGACACAAGGCATTCCAAATGTTCCAACAACAGCTGAAAGAAATGGTATAAAAATTATATCTACTTTTCAAAATTTAATAACCATAAATTGATTTTGATTATCATTATAAATACACCTAAATCAGGATAGTTTTATTCTTTGACTTGTTCACCTTAAACACATTTTGAGTATTATTGTCTTTCACCTACTTACATAATGTGCTATTCTTAAGACATTAATAACATTTCTCTCTTCCGATTCACTTTTCAATAATCTGAACGGCAAAAGGGACGAAAACAGACCTTGATGAAATATGGCCCTCCTGACTAAACTTTTCCATTGATCTTCATCTCTGCCACCTACTGCCAAATTAATTCTCAATCCAGGTAAAATACCATAAATTCCATCAAATATAAAGCTTAATCAAATTCCTTCACAAAATCAATGGGGTTTTTATGTTGTGGCTTCAGTTGGGGATTGCCAGAATCTTAAAGAAAGTGAGGAAGGCTCTGTCATGTCAATACTTCTGTCTCTTCCTTTCAAGAGTAATAAAGAGTTTGGACAGGGGGCTGGAGGTGGAAGATCAGGAGAAATTGGAGACCATGTAGATGATGATTGCTTCAGGTCTGATCATTTTGTAATGGTTTCTTCATTAGTATGGCAAGTTCAATCACCAACTGGAAATGTGTGCACAATTCTTGACTGCCATATTGGTGTCTTAGTAGTCAAGCTGGCACAAGTGATTTGTGCTGCGCAGCCAAAGTTATATGTCAGAGAGATCATAAATGAATGGGTAATGAAAAAGGTGCAACCAGCCAGAAGGGCCTGGGTCATGGAAAGTGAACAAAGCTTGCATGCAAATGCCACACTGAAAAAGCACAGGCATCATGAAGTTATATGCCTCTGCAGAAGTATAGGAAATAGGCACAATTTACTAATAAATTAAATGCAAAATTAAATGTATAAGCAACACTGCTACACAGCAGCTTAGATCACATTTCAGTTTTTTTCAGATGTATGAATTAATGCAAGTTGTTCCAAGAGCCTGGCAAGAAACATGAGTTGTGGCAATTTAGAAAATGTATGAAAGGATAATCTTGGAATCTACAGACCTCAGACTTGACATCTTGTGGTCAGTACAACATCCTGAAAGAGAAAATAGCGAGGTTTCAGGACAAACATGGGATTGTAGTATGACATTATCAGGGCCAGACTGATTCTCTGAACTAGTTTCAATTTGCTGAAGGTCATAAGATTTTAAAAAAAGGAGCAGCAGTAGCCTATTTGCACCATTGAGCCTGCTTCACAAATTCAATATGATCGTGTACAGAGAAGAATTTCTGAGATTCCTTTACACCAAGTTGTTTTCTTTCATATGTGTTTCTTTTCCTCTCCCAAGACATTTCCATACAACAGAGTCTAACTACTGCACAAGTCATTCCAGTTTTGTGGGACAAGTTAGAAGAATGTGGACTCTCCTGATTGCCATCCTTTGTAAATTCATGTAACAACTAAATCAAAGTGGCATCATAAGTTGTAGATTTTAACTTACAAATCTCCTAGAGTTCTTTCTACAAAAGAGTTAGTGATTGATGGAAAAAGTATAGACATGGCAGGGTGGGGGGTGGTGCAGTGGTGCAGATCCCTTAGGGGTTCCTTCAGAGTTGTCTGGTAATGTTCAGCATAAGTCCAAGGCAATCTGCTGATCAATAGCTGGATACATTTTCACTAATAATATGTATAGTGCAGATGGCAACGATAACCAAAAACACATTTTGATTTTAAAAATCTATAAATGGCTTTCAGAATAAAACCTGACAACTAGTAGCAAATCAATGTCATTGTGACATCCTTCCATTTGCATAAGACCATGGATACGCTGCAAATCCACTCGAGATGGGATAGATACATATGGTGCTCATTTGTTGATAGTTGAAGATACTAATCCAATAAAGGGGGCTTCTATCACAAGTGCTACATATGTGGTAATTATCAGGTGACATCTGCGTGACGGTTTTTGATGTTGACACCTGTTGTCAAGTCACTATATTGTAATGGTAGCACACAGCAATTCATCGATGATGTCAGCATTTAGGTCTGTCATTGGCTGGAGTTTCCCTAGATATGAACATTGATGTTCAGAGGCTGTGTCATTGTTGCATGCATCCTTGAAGTGAAACTTCCATGTCCTAATGATCTTCTGGATCCAGTTATCTCGCTCGACAGATAATTCTTAGCAATGCAACCATCTTCCATCCGGTGGGCATGCCTACACCAGCAAAAGCACCTCTGCTTGAAATCGTGGACATGGTTGTCTCCACACACCAGCTACAAGAGAAGTGTACAGAAGAGCAGAGACTTCTTTTCCTTGCTTTCTCTGATCTTACTGAAACATTCAATACCATCAGCAAGGCAAAACTGTCCAAGATTTTGGACAAAATTGGTTGTGCTGTCTATCACTGCTGCTTAATCTAATTCAAAACTTTCATGAGAACATTTATGGTACAGTACAGTTTTACGGTACCACTTTTGGCAATTTCAGGAGAAGAATGGAATGGAATGGAGTAAGGTTCTGTTCTAGCCCCTACTTTGTATTTTCTTTTTCATGTTCCTGATCTTAGCTTTTCCTGCAGATAAAGAAGGAGTATAACTGCATATTAAGCCAGATGTCAAGCACTACATCTGTCCAGACTGAGGACAAAAATATAACTCATCTTGATCCTCCATGCTGCTGCTGATGAAATAATGATTTGCGTGAAAATTCAATAACAAAACCTCAGACATTTTATTATCTATGTCTGTAACCTGTTTTCCTTACTATAAGCAAACAAGAAACATGTTTATGGGCTAAGCATCACATCGCTGCCTTGATCACTCCAAATAACATGTTGTAGGAAGCAGTTAGTAAATTCTCCTACCATGGATGTTTGGTGACACATGGTCTGTCTCTTTTTGCAGAACTTGATGTATGCATAGGGAAAGCAGCTACTGAGTTTGGACAATTCATTAAAGGTGCAAGGAACATCCAAGCTGACTCTTGGGGCCAGATGTTGGTTTATGTGGCAAGCAAGTGATAGAAACAACAATGTTGGTAATGTAATTTATGCACATTAATATGTTGGTATTAACACAGTAATGGACGCTTAATAAAAATGAACTATCCCATGTGGATATCATAAGGTTCATGGGTCTACAACAAGTTTAGGACAATGCCATCTAATACTGTCACGTACTTTCAGGCTGTGCATAAACAGTGTAAGGTTTAGAAAGGCTCCAGAATGAAACCAAAATCACAGAAACATCAGAATTGTTTGGAATAGGTTGTACTAGGAATGGCTGTAAAATATTTGCAGTTGACTGACCCCTCTGTTTATTTAGATCATCCTTTGCACCTTACTGAGATTTTTTTTGATTTTTGAAAGCTCAGTCTACAAGCATTTAAATAGAGTAGACAGTCAAAGGCTCCCACCTCTGTAAAGTACTATCTCCGCCAATTGCTATGGAAAACAAAATTGTAGCATTTTGGTACATGCGGCTTACCGACTAAGTTTAAGAGAAGTTCACCTTCAAATTTATGGTGGATGTAACTGGAACCTGGTGAGTTACACATCGAAGGGACCATACACACGATTCAGCCACATCCAAGACTTAATTGTGTTGCTGCTTTCAACTATGTTACTATGTTTGCTGCCTCAGTCTAAGCAGGAGAGAGCTGAACAGGTGGCTCTTAAGGTCTTAAATTTCATACTTCCTGTTCTTGAGGCCTTGCTAAAACAGCATGGTTCTTCCTCTCTACCAGCCAGTTCTGCAGCACTTTATATTACAACCAAGTGGTTTTTCCTTGGATCTTAATTGCAGATCACACCAAGTTTAATGAACTCCTTTTTTATTCATTGATGCACTGGCATACTAGAGGAAATTTTTGCCACAAACTAAAAATGTAAACATCTGTGAATAGATTCTCCTGAAACTATTGATTACCTGATTCCTATACATACAGCAACAGCAATTTCCAGGCCATATATTTTGATAACTTACTCGTGTATTGTTCCTCTCAGCCTTAAGTTCAGAAATTTCCTCTTCTTTTTCCAGCAGTTGTTCTCTACAAGTATTTAATTCTTTTGTCAGTGCAGCAAATTCCTGTTAAGAAATATATTAAGTTATAACACATAGTTTAGTTCAATGCAAATCTATTCAGAGATCAAATAGACGAATGAATTACAAGAGATATGGCTTACATTGTATGATATTTTGATAAGAACATCACGACCATGAGAACTAGCAGCAGGAACATACTATACAGCATCTTGAGCTATTGAATAGGATCATATTTGATCTTCAACCCAATTCCCAACTCCCAGCGTAGTTCAAAAATCTCCTGACCTCATCCTTGAATGTACAGCTTTCTGAGGTAGAAAATTCCAAAGACTCACTGTCCTTTTAGTGAAGAAATTTCTCTTCATTTCAGTCTGAAATGATCATCCTCTTATCTAGAGAATTTGCCCAAGTTCTAGACTCTCCCATCAGGGAAACAGCCTTTCAGCATTTATTTTGCCCTGCCACAATTTTATCACCTAATTAATGATAGCCAATGCTGATTTTTAAAAGGCAGACTGCAGTTGACTCATCAAATTAAATGTTATAATGAAGTAACAGAAGGTTGATGATGGGAACACAATGGATGCTGTCTATATTGACTCTAGGAAAACATTTGACAAAATACCACGTAAGAGGCAGCATTACCTTAGATTTAAAAAAATGTTTTGAGGGAAGAAAACAATGAAACATGGTAAATTGTTATATTTCAGGCTGGAAAATGCTGGACACAAATGCTAGGACCACCGTTCCAAACTAAAGTTCCAAGACACAGATGAACTATCAGAATTAGCAGGCCATTTAGACAAAATTTAATAATAGAGACGTGTAACATGATGTATTTTGCCAGAAGGCACTGGAAGTGGCATTTTGATGTAATGGCATAGTTCTAGAATGTGCAGGGATGGACCTAGAGTGCATGTGTACAGATTTTTAAATGTAGGATTTACAGAGAGAATGATTAGCACAGTGTATGTGACCTTGAAATTCATAACCCAGTATTTAGTGACAAAACAGGCAAGTTATGCTGAACACAGAGACAACAAGGTGCAGGGCTGGATGAACACAGCAGGCCAAGCAGCATCATAGGAGCAGAGAGGCTGACGTTTCGGGCCTAGACCCTTCATCAGAAAAGGGGGAGGGGAAGGGGGTTTTGAAATAAATAGGGAGAGAGTGGGAGGCGAATAGAAGAGGGATAGAGGAGAGGATAGGTGGAGAAGAAACAAACAGGTCGAAGAGGCGGGGATGGGGCCAGGAAAGGTGAGTGTTGGTAGGGAGTTAGGAAGGGGATAGGTCAGTCCAGGGAGGACGGACAGGTCAAGGGGGCGGGATGAGGTTGGTCGGTAGGAGATGGAGGTGCGGCTTGAGGTGGGAGGAGGGGATAGGTGGGAGGAAGAACAGGTTAGGGAGGCAGGGACGAGCTGGACTGGTTTTGGGATGCGGTGGGGGGAGGGGAGATTTTGAAACTTGTGAAATCCACATTGATACCATTGGGCTGCAGGGTTCCCAAGCGGAATATGAGTTGCTGTTCCTGCAACCTTCGGGTGGCATCGTTGTGGCACTGCAGGAGGCCCAGGATGGACATGTCGTCTGAGGAATGGGAGGGGGAGTTGAAATGAGTTATGCTGAACCTTTGTAATGCTCTGGTTAGGCCACAACCACAATGTGGGGCCCATTCTGCTTGCCACAGTTTATTGATGTAGATATGCATAATTGATTGATCGATTGATTTATTGTCATGTATCCCAAAATAGTGTAAAGCTTTGTTTATGAGCAGTACAGGCAGATCACATCAAGCAAAGGATGTACAGATCAAAAACACTTAGAGACATATAGGTTACACTGCAGATTACATTATTTGAGGCTACAGCCCATTCAACAATCTGATAATGCCTGGAAAGATACCTGCTGTGTGTATATTCAGGCTTCTATATCTTCTGCCTGAAAGAAGAGGTTGTAGGAGGTCATTACCAGGTTGCAATGGGTCTTTGATGATTTTGGCCACCTTTCTGCAGCAGCAAACCATGTAAATAGAGTTTACGGATGGAAGGTTGGCTTCCGTGATAGCCTGGGCCGTGCACACCACCTTCTGTAGTTTCTTACGGTCCTGGGCAGAGCAGTTGCCATATCAGGCCATTATGCACCCGGACAGTATGCTTTCAGTGGTGCATCTGTAGAAGTTGGTGAGGGACTTTATGGACATGCCAAGTTTCCTGAGCCACCTGAGGAAGAAGAGGCATTGTTGTGCCTTCTTGACTGTCACATTTACGTGGGAAATCCAGAACAGATCATTGGTTATCATCACTCCGAGGATGTTCTTCACTCTCTCAACCTCAGTTCCGTTGATGTAGATGGGGGTATGTTCTCCTCCTTTCTTTCTGTCGTCAACGATCATGCGTTACTTTCCAATTTTTTTGTGTTGTGAAACCATTTTAATGCTTTGTACAAGAGTGCAAACCCAGGGTAAAAATTGGCTTGGGGGGAAACAGTTGTTGAGCAGATTGGGCGTTCAAATAGTAGGGTTAAGGACCCAAACACTGAGGCATTTGCTGTTTTGCAGGGTCTGTTGGTGTCAGCAGTTGGGCCTCAGAACACAGTAGATTGGGTCAAACCTCAGACATAATGTGCTTTTTCAGTTGATATCAAGACTGTCAAATGAATCTGTACTTCATAATTGCCTTTGCTGTCTTGGAGCCCTGACCTCAATGGGGTGATGGGAAGGTGGGGGTGCATCATGACTCACAGTTTGGGAACCACTGGCAAAATGATCTTGCGGTGATCACAGACTAGCTGCACATTAAGGGAGTGAATCCCCTTTAGATTAGTGAACATTAATTATTTGATGACACCTTGATTGCTAAGTACCTACAATTAATCAATTGAGGGCTCTTCTCAATGCTGTTAAGTGTATTGTCTCTATAACTGAACTGGAAGGCCCAGGTTCAAGTCCCACTCACTACAGAGATGTGCCATAACACATCAGAACAGGTCAGTTAAAAATAATCATTAATGAAAACCTTTGATTACATCCATACTAGTCTGAAAACAGTTGGTCTTGGAAGCTGAGCAGACTCAGTTTGCACTTGAACTGAAGACCACCTGAGAATATGAGATGTAGTAGGCTTTAACCTGACTGGTTCAGTCAATAGAGCATGACTCTTCACCACAAGTTCCTGGGTTCATGCCCCACAACTAGGTGTTGTTGTTATGGTGTGTGTGGAACATGGTATTGGCTGAACCTCTGGATGAGAAGATCCAAGTTCAAGTCCCACCTGTTCCAGATATGCATTGTAGCATGCATGCCTATTCAGGTTGTCTAAACATATTTACAATTAATCAATCACCCATTAGGTAGTGGAAATCCTGCCACTAATGTAAAGCTGATAATATTCTGGGCTTCAGTCACGCCATCTATGAAAAAGTGTATATAACTGGTGGCCTTAGTAAACAAGGTATCTCTGACCTTGGTGATTCAATTGTGGGCAGCAGATTTGTGTAAAAACCTTGCAGAGTCTCTCATAGATGCCTGGAAGGAGCTGGAGGCAAAGAAATCCCACCACATTTAATGCATTACACCTGATCTGCTCGAGTAGAAGTCTGCTACTAGGCTGCATACATCTGTCATTACTGTCACAAAAGCTTCAGCCTTCTGAAGTTTGAAATATTGACCAAGCTCATCATTAGCCAACAGACCCTATTCTGTGGGTACTGCTGTAGCTCTCAGTCTTTTGTAACTGCAACTGGATGTAGAGATAGCAGGCTGTTATTCCAAATGTTTCTGTTTCTATCACTGTTCTTGCCCCTATTCATGTGGCTGCTGGAATGGATCAAGTTTCCTCCCTTCCCCAGAGGTCCAAGCTACTGCAGCTCTCATATTGAAGGGATATCTGACAGACAGGAAGTTCAGTTTCAGCTTAATTGATTCCAAGCTATTTGAAGGCCATCACACAACTTCCTAATTACGTCCAAAATTAATGGCTTCAAGTTGAAAGAACCAGTCCTGACACTGCTAGACTAACACTGTGGCTAACCACAAGTTTGCAAATTTCAGCTTTTATAACACTGCAACCACTTGATTTCATTAAAGTAGATGAGTCAGTCATGCAAATAGATATAAATCAAGTAAAATATAGTTGGGATTATGGAAATGTGGCTGTAGGGTGATCAAGGATGGGAATTGAATATCCAAGGGTATTCAGTTCTTAGGGGAGCCAGACAGAAAGTAAAATGAGGTGGGGTAGTATTTCTCGTTCAGGAGCTTTAAGACAATAATTAGGAAGAATATCTGAGAGTAGAGCTTAGGACCACAATGTGGCCAAGATTGATAGTGGGGATTGTAGATAGATCATCAAATTGTAAGAGGAATGTTGAAGAATGCAGAAAACAGGAAATTATGGGCACAACCAATAAAGAAAAAGGTGTAATTATGTGTGACTTTAATCTACATATTGGTTTTGGGATTGGGCAAACAAACCAGTAACAATACCAAACAGGAAAAATTCCTCGAATGTGTACAGCGTAGTTTTCTGGAACAATGCATTGAGGAGCCAAAGAGAGAACAGGCTATCCTAGACTGAGTATTGTGTAATCAGAAAGGCATAATAGGGAAACTACCTCTGCAAGGCCCCTTGGGGAAAAGCAACCATAATATGGTAGAATCCTTTATTAAGATGAAGATGCTGTCATTACTCTGAGACTGGGGTCCCTAAATCTAAATAAAGGAAACCACAATGGCAGTTTCAAGGCTCAAGCTGCCTATGATAAATTGGGGAAGATTACTTAAAGGGGCAAAAGTAGATAGGTGGTAGCAAACATTTAAAGAGCACATGGATGAACTATAACAATTATTCATTTCTGTCTGGCACAAAAGTAAAACAGGAAAAGTGACGTGACCATGGCCGATAAAGGGAAATTAGGGACAAAATTAGATCCAAGGAAGGGGCTCACAATTTGGCAAGAAGAATCTGGCAGACATGAGGATTGGGAGCAGTTTAGATTTCAGCAAACAACAACAAAGGGATTGATTAAGAGAAGGGATATAAAGT